AATGTAGAGCTCGGTATCATTTCAATTTCGAAAACCACTGAGGGACAATTTAAGCATGATTGCCCCACACAGAGGCTACTGATTAGCACTTACAGCACAGTGCCAACCTTACACCTGGCAAGAGCAAGGTTTAAAAGGCTTTTAGTGTGCTGGCCTACACAAAGGCACCATCTATATGACAGTGCAACCACTTCCAGGGCTATACAGCTCTGGAGTGCATCAAGCGCATGGGGTAAGAGCCTTTCAAATGTTACACCCACCACATGGAGAACTGTCACTGGGCAGTGCTTTTTGGCAACCACTCAGGGAGAGAGCTACAGTGTTCAAATCCACTATGAGTGACCTCCACAAGCAATGACATTTCCAGTACTGTGTATGATAAGATGTCAAATGGCTAACAATTTGCTAGCTGCTGTCCTTGCACATCAGATCATCAAAGCAGCAAAGTAACTGCAGATGCCAAAGGATGGCAGCATAAAAGAGAAAAAAAACAAACCCACAAGTATCAACAACAGGTATCACTTGATGGACAGTATTCCTAGGCTGATTAAATGTTATTGATATATGCAAACACCTGCCCCACGACTGAACCATCTTGAAACAGTGGGCTGCAGATCTAGCATGTGGACATTTTCAGTCTGCTGTTCTAGCCAATAATCATCCTGTTCAACAAATGCATGCAACGTTTTAGCCTTTTTCCTCACTCACTTGCTCACATTGCTGTAAGGCAATTACTGTATGAGTGACACACATCTGCTTTTCTTTTCTTTTTTAGTATTTCCAATCTACCATGAGAGGATAACTGAACTGTCACTATAAGCTCCTCAATCGAGTACCAGTGACATTCTGAAAAACGAGCCAGGAACTTGTCTGATCACACTCCTGTGCCCATTTCACCCTTCGGTGTCATTTTGGAGCAGAAATGTAAAACCCATTATGGTAAAAAGACTAGCTATTTGCTTACCTATGTGTCCATCTGCCTGATTATTTCTGCTAACTCCAATGTGGAGCATATACCATCTGTAGCAGCCTTACTGAAGCAGTTTTGTACGCATTTATTTTTACCTGGGTATTTTGAGCTTGCGTATGCAAATTGACATGAGAAATTGACGTGAACATGCACCGTATTCAGAGGATGAGACAATGGGAGGAAGGGGAGGCCTACCTGTTTAGGATTAAAATGACACAGAGCAGGACGGGAGACACACAATGGTATTTGAATTCTGGACATTTAGACAAAGCTCACCAATGGCTTAAACAGCCAAATGTTTAACTCATATTCCGAGAATATTTAAATCACCGTGCAAATGAATACACAAGGCAGCATTTCTACTAGTGCAATCAAATGTTCTTCCCGCAGAAGAAAATCACCTGAAATTATGCCTGCTTTCAAAGAATGCTATTCCTCAAGCTTTTACTGGGGGAGGGTGAGTTTGCTCCCCACCTCGCCTTCAGGAAGGAATGGTGTACGCAGGGCGGACAGCATGCAGAGCTGACGGGAGTGCGGCTGTCTGCTTTATAAACTAGTCCTGTCCAATACTATTCCTCTTTCCCCGTGGCATGCCTTCCCACCCACCTCTTGTCTAGTTGCAGCTAGTTTCTCATAATGAGGGCCGATGAGTCTTAAATTAACTGTTCGGCCCACACTCATCACTGTTGTGCTAAGGAGGTGGTGCTGTTTTGGCCGATTGGCTTTGATCGCTTTCATAGTGGATAGTGAGACACCACATAGGCAAATGCTTAATATCTGGTGAGCTCCTTGAGGCGCTGGTAGTGTGAAGGGTTGCTAAGTCTCCAATCTCTTATTGCTGGTGAGCTTAAGAGGGTTCAGATATTGGCCCAGGGAGTTATCTTCTTGTTGAACAATGACCAGCAACAACAGAGGGAGCAAGCATGAGGTCCATGGACTCCCTTTATGGCTGCCTAGGATAGACACCATTCCCCTAAGGCTGAGTCACCTTGAGCCACATAGAAGTGTGGCCCAGATGGATGCTGAAATAAAAATGGTTCTAGCAGGCATCTAAAAGTAAAAGGTTCACAGATTAAAGCATTTAAGTAGGTGCAAAGCATTATTGAAATCCTGAGCACCAGTTCTTTAAAGCTAAAACTCATAGCCAGATACACACACACCCCAAATGTCCCTAACGTGTTAACTATAGATGCTAAGGTAGCATTCAGACAATGGATGGAATGGGGGGGGGAAGGAAGGGGAGTTTGCTTCTCTAAAATTCTAAGGAAGTCACCTGCAATCTACCATAAACTTTACAGCACCTGCTTTGCATGCACAAGTCGCAGGTTCAGTCCCCAGCATCTCCAGGTAAGGATGGGAGAGACCCTGCCTGAAAGCCTGGAGAGATGCTGCCAGCCATAAGGCAACTTCCTATGTTCCTATGATGTTTAAGTTGTGATTACATGATGGTACACATCAGTTCCAGATAGGCCACTATGTCGGCTTTACTAGGGCTCATGTGAGTTTGTGTGATTCGTCTAAGCCACAGAATCTTTACTGAGAATATTGAGATGACAGTCTTTGCAGATAAATCTAACTGGCATTGTGCTATAGCCACCAGGCATCCAGTAAACACTAGATTTTGGAAGGCATTATCAACATGCGTTGCATGTGTTATTCAAAAGACAACCATACCCATGGATTGCAGGGGGAAATGGGAAAATGTTCTACTAGGGGAGAGGAACTGGCTCTGCGGATCAATCGTAGTACACAGGCAGTGGTGGAGCTTCATGCTCTGGCACTGGGGGCGGAGAGCAGGCAGGGGCGTGGCATGCTGCCTGAAGGGGCGTGGCACCCAGCGTGCACGGGGTGGGGCCCCAGCTGCGATGTCACCCCACTGGGAGCGTGGTGCCGGGGGCAATGCGCTCCCCACGCCCCCCTCTTCCTCCACCAGTGTACACAAAGCAATTCTATGCATATTTACTCAGGAGTATAAGTCCTACAGTGCCACCAGAGCAAATTATTATCATTCAATTTTTGTATTAAAATAAAAGTCAAATATAAGAAGAGGCCAGCAACTTGTTTATTTTATTAGGACAATGGCCTAAGAAACCACAAAAGCAAACTGAAGACAATAGCTGGAAATGACATTTGAAAGTAAACTACAGGGAAGGAGAACCTGCTGCCCTCTAAATGCCTTTAGATTCCTACTCAGCCTCAGCCAGCAAAGTCAATGATTAGGAATGATGGAGGGTGTAGTCCAACAACATCTGAAGAGCCACTGGTTCTCCATCCCTTTCATATTGCCCCTGAATCTGGAGATCTGATTTAGTTATCATGCCTTTGAGGGACCCATTCTCCATGCATTTGTCTAATTACCGTTTGAAGCAATCGTAGTCAGCGGTGATCATCATTTCTCATGTCAGCAAATTCCATTAGGTAATCAAGATCTTATTTTCCTCTTTCTCCTGAATCTATGGCCTTTCAACTGCTTCAAAATCTAATGTTAAGCAAAAGTGGGGGAAACATTTCTACCCACCTTCTCCAAATCTATTATGGCCCTTCTCAGTCCTTTCTTTTCTAAGATAAGGGAACAAAATGCTTTAGCCTTTCTTCAAGTGGAAGGTACTCAGATAATTCACGATATTTTTGGAACATTCTGGATTTATGCGTTTCTGCTATAGTAGGGCTGCAACTGTACACTCAGAAGAGTACAGCAAGGATGAAGAACCTTTTTCAATCTGAAGGTGGCAAGGCTGTTGGGGACCACATTCAGCAGTGGGAAGGGGCACACACACACACACACACACACACACACCAAAAAAACCTTACATAGACACAGAAAGACAACTATTACTCAGGGGAGGCATATATTGAATTCTTAGTAAGTCCAGTTAAGTTTCACCTTACATTTTCTCCACAGACTATCTGTCCTGAATGTGCAAAAGGCATAAAGACCCCAGTAGTTCCAGAAAATTACAAATAACATTGATGCACAGCTGAACTGCAAGCCCTACCTTACAGCTATTCAAAACCTCAAAAAGGGGCGGGGGGAGAAATGCAACTGCACTTCAAAAACCGCATACATGCAATTGCAGAATAATGGATACTTATTACATATTTGCAAGGAATACAAGCCTAGCACTTTGCTGAGACATTTCCCCTTCTGTTTTGATCTCTGCAACAGATCTTTGTGAGGAAGGAGTACAATTGCACATTTTGTACAACATCATCGCCTCCCCCCACTCTTCCCCAGCTGTCTGATGAACAGTTGGCAGGTAGAAGGGGGGAAAGGGGACTGTATGCAATCTGACCCTTGGGCCGAGTATTCCCCATCCCTGGTGTACAAATCAAAGCTCCTCCTGAACCAAAAGCTAGCATTGGGCAATGACTGTTCAAAAGGAAGTCCATCTGTAACCTTCTAATATAGCCACATACAATGGAGGCAATAAAATAGCCAGAAATGTCAGTTAAAATACTTCTAATTAACTTTAGAATGTCTCTTTGCTAAGTAAGATTTACTTCTGAGTAAACTTTATAGAAGTATGTCAGTCACAGGGGAATCACAATTCAGCTCTCACTGCGCAGAACCTGCATTTTAATTCCACTTCTGCTTAACCAACGAAACACAATGCTAAACAGATCTGATGTGGCAGAAACCTAAAAACCATGATTTAAAATTATTTTATTTTATTGAATTAATTATATAAATCAATCTACCTATGATAATCCAAGACTTCAGGGTTAGGGCCTAGACCAGGCTTCCTCAAACTCCCCAGATGTTTTGGGACTACAATTCCCATCATCTCTGACCACTGGTCCTGCTAACTAGGGATCATGGGAGTTGTGGGCCAAAAACATCTGGAGGACCGAGTTTGAGGAAGCCTGGCCTAGACTGATTCAGGTACCCATGTAGATATACATACACAATTTGTATTTTTTAAAACATTCTTTAGAATATTTGTATACGGTATTTTATGTAAAGCACATCCAAATTGGTTCATCCAAATTTCAAAATAAAGCAGCAAAAAATAAAATACACATTACTCACCAGATATTTCCTCTAGGCATTGTTTGGCAGTCTTGCTATATGCCAGATCCATTTTTGTAGGACTGGTGCAGAAGTCAGCAGGTGGGAGAGAGGTACTGTCATTTTCTGAATGAGTTCTGAAATTAATCAAAGAGTTTCACTGTAGCACCTATAATAATCATAGCATTAACTGCCAAGTCCATGAATGGCAGAGTGGCACCCATTTCATCAAAAGCCAGATTCTGGAAATGTCATTAGCACCTTTTTTTTTTTTTTTTTGCATAACTTCATAGTGCTAAACTCTTCATCAGGACAGATAAGATTATATCCATATGTTGCAAGGGAGGAAAGTTTACATCTTTTTATATCACATATAACCAGACAAGGTGTCAAGGACTAAATGTCTTATCAAATTTCCCCTATCAGATGAAAGCTTAGTAGGAAGGGAATGGGTATGTCAATTTACTGGTTAGGACGTGCTTGGTTAACCAGGCACATGCTGCGAATGGCAAGTTTCTAAATGTTCTGCTGCTTTTGTGTCTCAGCTAAAGAATTATAAAGGATAGAAGCAAAACGTTGCTGCCAAAGGCCAGCATTGGAAATAAACAAACCTTGGCTGTGGCTCCTGGTTAAGGTGGTGAGAGATTAATCATGAGTCCAGGTTTGGCAGATACACTAAGTCAAACCATGGCTTAGCTGATGCATTACACTGAACCGAACCCAAAGGACATGGAAGGAGTAAAGCAACTGCGATTTCTTCCCCAGAGGTCAGCACACTTCCACAGTCCTGGTAAACTACAGCTGCCTTACCATGATGTACAAACCAGGCCAGACTCACTCCATGTAGCTAAAAAATGCTTTCATTTCTTGAGTTTCACAACCACCACACAATCATGTAATTTTCAAAATTATATTAATTATATCATTAAAAAAATACTGTTGATGTTAATACACAGATTTTTTTCCTAACTGATGTCTCAGTCCTCATACAGGTATTTAAAGGCAAAATAGTAAGAAATGAGAACTTCATGAGAGGAGGGGGGAAAAGAGCAAAACTGTTTTCCATGTCCCCTGCAAGTTACGTGTAATAATAAATGATAATTTCACACCTCGGACAATCGAAAGGCATTGATATTTGCTTCTTCTGAAAACCCAAGGATTACATTTAGTTTGATTCAGAGAACTAGCTTGTTTTGTGAGTATCTGGCACTTTTTTAGCGCCTGATAAAAACAGAGCACACCTTGGAATGCTTTTCTAAAAGCATGTCTTTAAGAAAATAACAACCTGTCAGCTTTTTTGCTATGTTTACTACTTCCAAGTTGCTTATCTAATGGGTTTATTCAAAAGCATGCTGAAATGGATGAGGAAGCACACTGCAGAGCAGAATGCATGATCCTGATAATATTTTTAAAATGTTTAAAAGGGCATCATAAACAGAAAATGACATCTGATAAAATATACTGCGCTTGACTTTTGAATTTATTTTTTCAAGTTTCTGAGAAATAGTGAAGGCAGATAAGTACTTTTTCATGTTTGGCTTTGGCCAATGCAAATATTAATTTACATTAAACAAAGGTTTGGCAGCCATGACCTGAGGCAAATGGCCTAGTGCAGTTCTAATACGAAACAACAGCCTAATGTTGTGAGAATGAGCCAAGGAGAAACTTGAATTTCTGTGCCTCTGCTTTACTACTTCTTATTCTCCAAATCAGTGGTAAGGAAATTGAAAGAGTCCACCTTCAGTTTTGAACAAATCACAGTATCTCATTAACTCAGAATTCAGGAAACTGTGGCTAGTTTAACAAACCCAAATCGAACTGTGGCTTCAGATTCTAGTTTATTAACTAACCAAAATCAGAATAAACCACATTTTCCTGAGTTTGAACGTAACAGGAAACTGTGTTTTATTCAAAGCTGAAAGGGGGAGCATTCTTCTTCCCTCATATAAGCAGGAGGGATGGAGAGAGAGACAGTAAGCCTGAGGCTCACTGCAGAACATCTTTGGGAAACCAAACCATGTTTTTTGTGTCTGTACTGGCCCTCTATATTTCAGAGTTCTTAGCTTGTGAGTTCTTGTTAACATAGACTCAAAGTATCTAGTTTCATAGAATAGAATGGGGTGACATATCTGTGGCCCTCCAAATGTTGCTGGTCAGCAATTCCCATCAGCTTGAGCCTACATTGCCAATGGTCAGGGATGATGGAAGACAGAGTCCAGCAACATCCAACCTTGCGCTAGGGAGCTGCAGAGCTGTGCGCTGTTAGATGTTCTAAGGCGAGAAAGCCTCAGCTTAAGGAAAACTAGACATGATGCAAGCGATCCATGATTATGCTCTTCCATTAGAAAAAAGAAAAAAAGCAGCTGCACAAGAAGCTGAACCTCACTAGGAATGTGACTTTGGGTGAGGAGTTGAACTATTTCCATGCTATTTTCTCCCAGTTAAAATCTCAACCTCCTTCTGATGATTCTCTTTGCTCCACAGAGGAAAGTGTATGGGTAACTATATGGTACCTTAAGCTTTCCCAATGGAACTCATGAAAAGCTATCAAAGGTTAATTTTCATGGGGAAAATGTTTCCAAGGCACAGCAGACCCAACCAGATTCACCTCCTCCCTGGCTGTTATTAATTTAAACAAACACAATAGATCTTAATCACCTTCTTCTGCATGATGTCTATTTTAGCCGTTAAAAGGCATAAACTTTCTGAGATGCAGTGCACTCAAACTAACAGCGGCATACTGAGTACAGAGATAGCCTGCTGGGTTGGGAAGACTACAGTGGCTTCTTATGAAATATGTTCACTCTGATCAAGTTGGAAAAGCCTCCATGTTTTTCAAACATATTTCATTTTTAAACCAGTTGACCCATCAAACTCAAAATGCCCATTTATCCAATTGACTGGCTAAGTTATATAAGAAAATAGACTACCTTCGGCTATGTTATCTTTCTGGTCTGTGTACTGCATTCTGCCCTCAATTAACCCCTCTAACTTAAATGACTGTTCTTGCTAAATGAGGCTGCACTTAGCTGAGCACAGAAACCAAGTCATTGTATGTCTATCGTTAAGAGCCATTATTCTGTGTCTGAACAAGCTTTTCCACAGATATCAGAGATTTCCTTAGCTATTCTCTGACATTCCAAAAGCCATACAATTAATATGCCTTATACGGTTTGACAGGTTTCACTGCTTCAGTTGCCCTGAATGAATTCCAATGATTATTTGATTTTAAGACTAGGGCATAATATCAATATATTGCAGTGTTAAATATTAGGGAAAACAAAATCCAGATTCGCAGTTTTGTGCAATGAATTAAGAAATGTACAAAAGCTAAAATGGGAAAATATTCTTTTTTTTATTTTTACCACCTACTTTAGCTCAGACTTGGCAGACCATTATTAAATGCACCACTTCAGCAATTCTGCTTGAGCCAAAGATACAACCGTGAAAATATCTAGGTTAAATACTTTGGACTGTCTGTTGCTAGAAATCTTAGTGCTAGCTTTGACTGGCAGAGTTTGGCCTGCTGCCACTTCAATTTCGCAACAATGAATGTAAATGGCATAAACTGTTAATTCGCTCTTGTGCTCGTGCCTGTGATTTGCCATTTTAAGGACAGAGCAGCTTGTAATAAGCTTAGCATTATAATTCCTATGTTCACAGGCATAGCAGCTAAGAAGCGGGTCTGGACTGAAAATGGTATTCAAATACTTGTGTAGACAAAAGAGAAGCTGCTTTCAAGGAGAAAAGGTTCAAACTGGCACCTAGCATCTGCCCTGCACTCACATAGCCCACTAATCACTAAAGTGATATGCACTATAAAATAATACACTCCTCTCTCCAGAACTTTCCATTCAAAACAGAATATTTGTTTCCTTCAGTATGATTCATTGCTTCAGTCTAATCAAAAACCGGTTGCCTGAAGAATATATCAATAAGGGGAGATGCAAGTGATGGATGAGTCTATAGCTTGGTCAACATTTTAAGGTGAACTAACTCAATTCACACCTCTCAAGCTTCTTTAAAGCTTGCACTTCTCCAAACTTTGTGATCTGATTCTCAGTTCAAAACATGTGCAAAATGTCATGGCAAGATCCTAAAGTTATTTTAAAGCCCCATTCATGTATGATTTTTTTTTAAAAGTAGATTTAGAGTGCATTAAATACACCAAAAACTAAGGCAGCCTTGGACTAAGGCAGTATAGTCATTACAAATACACTAAGATGTGTCCATGCATACCAAAGTCATGTGTGGTACATAAAGCGGGCTGGGGGGGGGGGGAGGAATGAACCAACTCTTTTGCTGTTTATAAGAGTTTCCCTGCCTTGTCATCTAGAAGAAATCTTTTACTTGCCATAGGCTACCAGCGAAATAGCGGTTTACAAGCATGAACTAAGGATGTTCCGTATAGATGAGTATTAAAGCAGTTTTGCTTAAATAAATTTGAAATGCAAATATGAAATTTATATCAATCAGTCTTCTCATTTGAATTACAAATGCATCTCTTCTGCATTAGTAATGATCAGACTTTCAGATAAACAGCAAAAGAGAGGCTCACGCTGATGTTCAGCCTTAGAGAGTTTCGAACGGTTTGCTGGAATGAAATATTAGTACCCAGAATATCTCCAACAGCCTACTCTCTTATATTAAATGATTTGAACTAAAAATGTATAATTATTCTGTTGATTTTTATTCTGAGAAAATTGAAGATACTGGTCACAAGGATCTAGGTGAGCAGAGCCAGCCAGCCACCCACCCTCTCCACCCCACCAGGCTATGTGTGTTTCAAGTGAGTGGGGATGTCATTCCATTCAGCTCTATTGGCTGAGCCAGTTGCTGTCACCAGATGACACAAGCATCATTCTATTGGGGTTGTGCTCCCCATTCTACTTGCTATACATGCAGGTGGTAGGCCCATGGGGAGCTCCAAGGGTGGGGCTGAATGGACCTGGGATCCACTGAATCCCAAAGGTTGGTTGATGACATTGAGGCTGATCCAGTGTGGGGTGGAGGGTAAGGATCAGGGGCGGAGGAAGGCGGGTGTGGTGGGGACTACCGGGTGTCACAACTGAGGGGGTGTCAAAATGCCGGCCAGCACTCACCGCGGAGCCTGCGGCACGCCCGAGCCATGTGTCTCTCCTGGGAGTGACGCAGTGGGTTGGGTGCCTGCACGCTCCGCTCTGCCCCAAACAGTCCACCCACCGCCTCCCCCTCAGCTGTAGGGCAGCTGAGTGGGAGGAAGTACGCAGACTCCTTGGAGGCCTGGCAGAGCGTCCTGCCCTGGCTGGCCCTGCCCCTGGGCACATGCGCCGCCCCAGGCACCCGATTGGCTTGCTCCGGTGCTGGTAAGGACTGCAGCCTTAGAGAATGAGAGAAAGAAGCATATGCATTGGCCTGCAGAAACCAGGCTTTACTTTTTCAGTGCAGTCAAATGCAAGTTAACAGGTATAGTAGGGAGACCTTAGACATAAAGCCAGTGTGTGAAAACCTCAGGTGCAAATCGGTGGTTTGCATGAGGATATCTCACTGGGTAGCCATAGCAAACTGTAAAGCAGGATAAAATTTGCAAGGATAAAATGAAAGATAAACTGATATAAGCCATGAGCTTCTTAGAGGAAAGGGAGGGTAATACATAACAGTAGAATGCAATCACCTATCTTTCTGTTTTCTAAGATGCCCAACTTGGTTGCCATATATATATTTATTACTATTAATATAGTCACCACTATTATTTTCATACCCATTTATGCTAACTATTTCAAAACCTATCAAAGACTCATATGCATAACAGCATACAGAATCGACAAGTTAATTTTTAGCTGACAAAAACAGTTATTCAACTTAAATATATCCTATGATAACTGTGTGCTGGCTTCTATAAAAAGATTGAAACAGAACTTCTTCCTTGTGAGTTGCTATTTCACAGAAGATCTAACTTTAAAATACTTAGCTACAACTTCTGTTTGTGGAAAACTGTGGGCTGAAAAAGGTACATGATGCAAGAAGGTGCTCACAGGCCTGTGAGTTTTACTTCTAAATGCAGCACCATGAAAGGATAATGTAACATTGCCTCTACCATGTTCCCTGGAAGCCACATGGGGCCACTTGTTTCTGTGCTGCTCTTCGCATGATAGATAAAAAGAACTATCCAAACCAAAAATCATGTTGTTTTTAAATCTGCCTCCATATCTGTTGCTGAGGTACTGAAGCAGCATATATATATCCTGGCCTGAGATCCCAAACTTTCAATGTTTTTAATTTAAGAACAAAACAGAATGGCTTCTAGTCAAGGTGGATATGATTTGATTTAAGTAAGACTTGATTTAAATCTTTTACAGAAAGACTCATTCTTGCTGGTATAATCTTAGTATTTGCAACCAGATGAAGGTTTCATTTTTGGAATAATAAATTTTCAGAGTAGCTTTTACAGTCCTATAAAAAAATTACTGACTTGGTAATATTATTAGAAATACGTAAACAGATAATTATGAAATCATTGTGAGGTTTAATAAGTTAACTGTTTATATTTGGACAACTTTTCTGCTGTACTTTATTGGAAGTACATTTCCTTAATAACAATTGAAACAATTTATTTAACTAAAACAATAACATTATAGCATATGTACCCATGTTTGTTAACTGATGTGGTTAAACAATTAGATTGAGTTTTAGCACACATGAAAAACTTAAAACAAATCCTTATTTCCTGATTAATAGCCTTTGGACTATAATGTAACTTAAATAGAAAACTATCTTTAGAAAGATTTTTAATAGACCAAAAATCTTTCTAAAGATAGTTCTGAATCGAATAGGGGAGAATCTCCCATGATTAACTTTTCTTAAGATGGTATTGCTGTGTGATCAGTTTTTTGCCATTGTTTTAAGCAAGTGCATTTTCTAAAATAATTAAATATATGGTGAAATATATTCAAATAAAACCACTTCTTTGAAAAATAGCTTGCCACACTTAGTTACAGAAAAAGTAGAAACTCATCTTACCTATAAATAAATGGTGCTACTGTGGCCGTATTTGGGTGGCTGTATTGCTGTTGCTGAGGAAGTTGCACAATGCTGCTTCCTGGTGCTTGCCCACTAGTTGCAGCAATGGAGAGAGCAGCAGACGAACTAGGGGTAAGAGCCATACTAGATTCCTTTCCTTCAGAGGAGGGAAGACCAGAAGGAGTGCATGCTTTCTCATTACCTTGCGATTTTGCTGTTGACTGGGGTTGGTTCCCCTTTGCACTCCTCAATTTTTCCGCCTCTTTACTTCCTGAACATGCCGGTGAAGTACTTTGCTTTGATGTCGGTACTTTTGATCCAGGTTTTGGTATACCACTAGATGAAGGTATTAGACTTTCCTTCTTGGCTGACGCAGCCTTGTTCCCCTTGGGGATCAGGCTTGCAATTTTTGAGGTCTTTTTTGCAGGTGTCTCTGTGGCCTGGTCCTTCTCTTCCTTCGCCGTCTTCTCAGTGCAAACTTTGTTTTTGTCCCTGCTCTTTTCCTCTTTGTCCTTTGGCTGTAGCAAAGACTTTTTATTGCTGAGATTTTTGCTTCCAGCTTTTGGAGGGGTGAGTTTAGGTGATATTTTAGGGCTGCTGCTGGTGGTGGAGCCACCACTGTTGAGACCACCGCTGAAGCCGTCCATTTCGCCACAATCTAAAAAGGCTTCTTCGTCTCTCCCGCTGTCGCTGGGACCTGAACTGGATGACAAGGGAGGCCGCAAAACAGTCCTAGCGTTAACCAACTTAAATTTCTCTAACATGGATTTCTGCCCAGATGAAGGAGTTTTGGGCCCTTCAGAAAGGGGTGGCTTAAGCCTATCTGAAGGTGGCGTAGGAGAGGTTGCGGGACTGGGCTGCTTGACAGACAGCATGGTAGAGGTGGCACTGTGTTTGACATTCATGGATTTGCTGCGCCAAGGCTTGCTGGCACTTGGAGAGGGGATGGCAGAGACCGGCTGCTGCCCAGTGCTGGTGGGATGCTGTACATTTCCATTCATGCCTGCAGATGGATGAGGACCTTTGGGTGATTCTGGTTTTGAAAGAGAAAAACACGAGGGCATTAAAATTGCAGAGCTCCCCAAACTATGCATTCCAAATGATGATGATGGATGATGATGAAATTTGTATACTGCCCTATACCTGCAGGTCTCAGGGCCGTTCTAACATAAAACCACAATATAAAAACACACAATACATAATAAAAACAAAAACAATCCAATAAACTTTCAATTAGTTGCACAACTGAAAGCACTGTGGGAACTGAGCCTTCTAAAACATGTTCCCATTGACCTAGTTTAAATACGTAAGCCTACCCTCTTATCGTTTCTCCAAACTTGTCAGAAACTTAAGTACAGAAAGACCTTTTGATTGCTTAAATTATTTTCCTCACAAATCATGCATTATAATTGCTGTTTTATGCTCAGCAAAAAGCGTTTTGGGTTGGAGGAAGCTTCAGCCGCCCACGTATTAACAGGAGCTCCAGATTACAAAAGGATATGGCACTGGGCTGGTGGGTAACAGGAAGAGGAACATGAATCTGTAATTATTTCCTTAAAAAAATAAATGGATGAAACTAACAGCCTTGTCCTAGAAGCTACTGTGCTAGTGAGAAAGTGTATAATTGCATGCTGCAAACAGATTCAGAATATTGTCCTGGAACAGAAACCCAGGGTGATAACAGTGAGAAGGAAAACAGGAGGAATGAATCAAGATCTGAAATAATATTCTTATTGTGACATGCTAGAGGCCCTTTTGGCCACTACAGAGTCACCAAGGTCAACACAAGCCTATGTATCTGGTTTAACAGGATTGAAAGTGACAGACAGCACAGTAGGATAGGTCTGCCCCACTTGCCTCATGTAGGGTCCCTCTAGCTATGTCGGCACCAGCCATTTCCACCTGCACAGTCACATCCATCAAATTGGGGGTAAATTAAGGCTGACACTGACTGCTCTCTGGCCTGGTTAGATTAAGGTTACCAATACCTGGTATAAAAAATCCACCCCTGTGACCTTAACAGCAGCATGGAGGTATGGCATTCAGCAGGTGCATTTTATCTCGGGGCTTTAGCTCTATGACATGACTACTAAAGACATAAGGGCTCCTATGGGCAACATGAAGGAAATATCAGAAAGGTCAGGTGTAGGATTTTGTATGCAAAAGGAGCTACACCAGAAATATTTGTAAGATAGAGGATAAGGGGAATAAATGAAGCTGAAGCAAGCACAGTATGGAAGTAAAGGAATAGCAGCGATGAAACCATTCATACAAGGGTGGTGTTGCTGTTTTCAGTGGTTTACCCAACAAATATATTGGTGGAATTGAATCTCAGTAATAAAAATAGGACAGGGCTAGAAATTACCTGAGCAGATGGTATCACTATAAATTAAATAAAGGGAACAATTGAATTGAATCAGAACAAGATTGAAATTTCCACAGGCCTCAAGCTTGAAAAGGATTGGGATAATTTAACTCCCATGTTTCTTTTTAATACTGATCATGCCAAAAAGCTTCAAGACTGAAGTGCTTAATCATACTAGGGATGCTTGAGAAATTAGTTTTCTGTGAATTCAGATGTCACATGACCTGATCTCCACCATGTGGACTGATGCGTAGATTGGAATGTAATGTTGCTCTCTGCTCAAAAATCATGCCAACATGCATTTGACCATGCACACTTCAGAATAAAATATGTTTAGAATTCCAGACACTGAGATACAGTATGCATTTACCTACATATTTTGTCATGATATACGTGTTATAAGCGTGTGTGTAAATACAGATTTTTGTGCAGATTATTTTAAAGCGTTATCAGATTTATGTAGAAATGGTGCAAAGAAGAACACATAAATTATTGACAGTCCTACATACAGGAAAACATAGGGCGTTCAATGGTGTTGCTAAGATGACAGTAACACTCCTGTCAGCAGAACAGGGAGGGAAGTAATTTGCATTGGTACCAGTGGCAGCTTCTCTCCCAGTGCAAACAAAACCTTTGGGTGAGGACAGATTTTCTGTAGGAGTGTGCAAGGAGTTAAAAAGAAACACTACCCGGCTCATCATAGCCCTGATCCTGATCACCCCCCATTGCTGCTATTTAAAGTAGAAAAAAATAACTACAAAAGGCAAAACTATACATTTATTGTTTCCTATGTGAACATAATTTGGTTTGGAGTAAACCAAGCTAATTTGGAAAACAAAGCAAAGATTTGGGGAAAGGAAGTGTTAAATAGTGATTACTCCATAGAAAACCACCAGTTATGTTTGCCCAGCCACTGTACATAATTTAATTATTTAGATCACTTTTCCAGTTAGCTAAAAAGGATTTATAGCATGGATTTATGCTATTTAGTTCCACAGTATGTCAAAGAAAATACTCTTTCTGTATATGTAGCTAATGGTTTCAATTTGGAGCCCGTGACACAAATGGAAAAGCAAGCCTGAGGACCCAATAAAATAATCTGATAATAATAGTTTGAAAAGAAACTGTAGCAGCATTTTTTTGTCCTGAAAGCAGAGATTATGGAACATTCTGCTTTTACACATTAAATCATATTTGTATATGGCTTAGCGAATCAGTGACTAGCTTCACCAAGAACCTACCAGGACTATCAGTTTAGTCTTCAAAATATTAGACTTGCATAGAGGGGCAGGAGTGTTCATTCGAGGAAACTCCATCCTCAATTCCCCAGCACCACAAACGTGATAAGACATTCATGCCTCATCAGGATTTTCAGTTGTGTGGAGGCTTCTAAGCATCTTCCGTCAAACACACACAGAAGATTCTCTCAATTTTTAAATTCAATGCACAAAGCTCTGAGAGAAGCCCTCGCTGAAGGGGGAAATTAGGGCAGTGCTTATATTTGAAACCATTTTTTAGGATCCACTTTATTCAGGAAAATGTTTTCTTTTTCAGGTTCAGCAACTCTGCAGATTGGGTTATGGAAAATGTCTGCAGGTTGCTCTAATTTAATAGCCAAGTGTCCCTGTAGTGCTGCATATGGTATTCTAAACCCCCTCCATTATTTATTTATTTATTTATTTGTTTATTTATTTATTTATTTATTTATTTATTTTTATCTACTGCAAATTTATTCCTACAGTAGTAGTAATGGGATTGATTTTGGCAAATAACAATATTAACCTTTAAGGGAAGCTTTTGATGCAAGGTTAATTGTACAGCTACTCAGCACAAACAGCATGGATTATAAATATGAAACCCATAAATTATTATGAGATCTGAAGTATTTTGAAGATTCTCTTATGGCATAAAGGAACAATCAAATTATGGATAGTCATGCAAATTAGAATCATCTGTTTTCCTTTAAGTCCTTTGTTGCTCTCCTGATATATACTACCAGTATATATCTTGCTTCTGTTTATTTTTAAAGCCCACAATTAACCTAGCAATCAAAACGCATTACCTCTAAATTATTAAGATTGCTTTACAACAGTAATTATTATGCAGCTTAACAAGCATGATGTAACAGGTTCTCCATTGTCTAAACCAGGGGTTGTCAACCTGGTTCCTACCGCCCACTAGTGGGTGTTTTGGGATTCTAGGTGGGCGGTAGGGGGCTTTATGGCACAAGCTGAATCCTCCTTCTACTGAGCACTGGTGGGCGGTAAGGAAATGTTACCATCAAGAAAGATGTATTAGTGAGCGGTAGGTATAAAAAGGTTGACTACCCCTGGTCTAAACGATGCTCCATAGGCATCAAATTATCTTAATTATGTGGTGGATCATAAACCATATTGAGTCCTACCACTACTCAAAATAGGTAGAGAATAACAGATTGAACGCGATGATAAGTAATGAAGATGAAATGTTAATATTGCTTAAAGAAACATCCTTAGAGAAAGATACCACAATAAAACTTGCTTGGTACAGAAATTTGCAATGCCTGTGTGAATTAATTCCTCCCCCACATCTAACTGAACACTGGTGCTCATTCAATGACATCTACTCCCACCTTGTGGTAAAGCTGCTGCACATTGCTTTTAAAAAATGTTCTATTTTCCTGACCCCTGAGATAGGAAAAAAAGAATATTTCAGTGACTGAATATATGCAAGAATGATATTCTTGAAGGCAGAAGGTATATAATTTACCACAAGTGCGGAAGAGATGCTGCAAGTATCATCCTTGATGCAGGATGCTCTAAGACTACATTCAAAACTGAGCCATCACCGAGTGTCAGATTTTATGAAGTTTCCACTGCTTAGGACTGAAATCTATGCCCCAAAAACAGCTGCAGAAAATTTATATCTATCCAACTGCAGCTCAAAACGTTAGACATCTTTTGCCAGAAATAGAAGGATCCTCAGAGCCCAATTGAAAACTCAACAATTATATTCTACTTATATCTCAGAATTAGTATTTTAAACATTTCATCTTTTTTCCCTGACTTGTGTAGAACCTTTACAGATTCGTATGCTCAGTAAGCCTGGTATCCATTCAAACACTTACCTTTTTCATTTCCATTTGCATATTGTGGAGGCTTGTTTTTGTCAATGCTATTAAAGCTCTGACTTCTCCGATTTAAATTTGAGGCTCCCTGGACTTTGGTACTGCTGCCTGCAGCTGGCACCCTTGAGGGCCCGGGAAGCCTAGAATAGCACAGTCAGAAATGAATTTCTTGCAAGTGCATATGAGACACAGTTAACTTTTCAGTTGCAGAATAAATTCACAGAGCTGATCAACAATGGTTTTAAGGAAGGTAATGAGAATGAACAACAACATAATTAATGGTTAGTTAGACCACGGACAAAAGGAACACCTTAAACGGTACAAAAGAGGGAAAATATGACATATACAGCCAGAGACAAACATATAAGGATCCTTTGCATTTTCCATTTACACTGCAAAAAAGATTCACCCATGTTTTTCCAGGAGCCATACAACTGTTTTATTCAAATATTTCAGTTCCATATATTTCTAAGATAAATATAACAAAGCTGAAACAACCCATGGAATACAGTTTAGTGGAAATATATACTCTAAACACAGTTTTGTAAATAAGCACTGTACTCCACGAGTGCTTTATTTCTTCTTTTGTTCCAGAAACTCAGATATCTGCAGAAGGCATTAGATGGTAAGATGAGAAATTCAACCTTTTACATTGCTCACATCTTCATTACTTCAAATGAAAACTCTTGAATTAAAGAGATCTGCTCAGGCTACATATTTCACTTGTTGGTATTTGCTGCCACCATCTGAAATATCCTGGGTATCAGAGTTAACAATAAAGATGCCACTCTCTGCAATAAGTACAGACTCACATTGTAATTATTTTGATTTGATTGTCTGGTGTGGAGATTAAGCAGTGTTGCGTTGTCTTACAAGCTGCCAATAAAAATAATTTGCTCTAGTTCAATGCACATAGTTGGTACCTCAACAGACTTAAGGACAGGTTAAATCAGGATTGTGAATGTTACCTAGAAGTAGGTGTTACTAGTTTAGGATATTTCAAACATTTGCATTGTGAAATGCTAATAGCTGCCACAGGGGGAGAAAAGAGAGAAAATGCAAGAAGAAAATGAAAGGGGGCGTTTGTTTAAGAAAGGGCTTTGCTTACTATAGTGGCACATCAAGAGAGCATATTTCAATATAAAACTGCAGTTGTTTAACCACTATATCTCTATCTATGCAGGTCACCACTTTGTGAAGTAGGTAACTGGAAAATTGCGATGTTAGATGTCTAATAATCCATGTTACTTTTTAGTTTATTCTGGCTGTTGGCCTGTTTCTTTGGAGTCTGCACTGTCAGCAAATCTAAGCATACAACACTTTATCATGGCCTATAAAATCCAGATAAGACTGGGGCACTGTTAGTGAGTGGTTCCCTAGACCTCTGAGGGCACCGGTGCATAACTTAGGGGTGCTTTGCTGTCAGCTTTGACTGGTGTCCCAGCTGTGCCCCTATCTGGACGGGGATAGCCTAACACCTGTTGTTTATGCTCAGGTAACCGCTAGGTTAGATTACTGCAACACTTTATATACAGGGCTTTTTTCAGCTGGAAGTCACTGGAACTCAGTTCCAGCACCTCTCAGGTGGGTGCCATTGCCATTATAAGAGAACAAGGGAGGCATTCATGGTGAGTTCTGGCATCTCCTTTTCTAGAAAACTAGCACTGGATATGAAGGGCTACCTCTGAAAATGGTTTGGAAACTTCAACTGGTGCATAAGTTGGCAGTGAAATTGCTCATGGAGGGAAGACAGTTTGATTAAATTACACTGATCCTGGCCCAACTGCAGTAGCTGCCAGTTAGTATTCAGGCCCAATTCATAGCGCTGCTTTTGACCAATGACGCCTTCACGGCTCAGGACTGAAATATTTCAAGGACCGTCTGTCCCCATATGGCCCACCTCAACCCAACCCTGCAATAATCATTTGAAGCCCTTCTTCATGTGCCTCCTCCATGAGAGGTTTGGAGGGTGGCAACACCAGAACAATCATTTTCTGTGTTGCCCCCACCCTTTGGAATGGTGTCCCCAGGGAGGCTCACTTGGCACCCTCATTACGTACCTTTAGATACCACCAGGCAAAAATGTTTCTCTAGAACCAGACCTTTGGCTGATTAACATTATATGGGCTTTTAAATGTGTCTGTGGGAGGGATGTTATTGGCTTGTTTATGTTTTATTGTGTATTTTGGGTTCTCATTTTATATTTTTATGTTGTGGACCACCTTGTGATCTTCAGATGAAGGGTGGTATACAAATTCAATTAACAACAACAACAAATCTATGGCTACTGATCCAGTTAATTTACAAATACAAAAATGCATGTTAAAATTCAGTTGCTTGTACAGCGGCACCTCGGGTTAAGAACTTAATTCGTTCTGGAGGTCTGTTCTTAACCTGAAACTGTTCTTAACCTGAGGTACCAGTTTAGCTAATGGGGCCTCCCACCACCACCACACAATTTCTGTTCTTATCCTGAAGCAAAGTTCTTAACTTGAGGTACTATTTCTGGGTTAGCGGAGTCTGTAACCTGAAGCGTCTGTAACCTGAAGTGTCTGCAACCCGAGGTACCACTGTATTAATAACCATATTTCTCAGGTACTTCCCTCCCTATATTCCAGTTAAGAAAATGAGGTGGGAAACAGCCCAAAGGGGCCTTTGTAATACTTGAAAACAGATCTCAAGGCTATTCTCTCTCTCTCTCTCTCTCTCTCTCTCTCTCTCTCTCACACACACACACACACACACACACACACACAAAATACAAACTTTCCTTACATACCTATTATTTCCATTTCCAGTCATTCTCCCACAGAATCATTTAAGCAACAAAGGAAATGCAAAGTATAAAGGAACAGGTAATTCACAAGGAACATACTTCTGGTCAAAAATGTACAAACACTGTTATAAATTTATATCATTAGACAAGAAACAGTTGTTAGAGCCCAGACATGATGAATTGTGAAGGAGACAAGAGAGCCTACAATAAATGCGGACTGAAAACCTATGACCACAGGTGCACAACAACTGTGCTTTGGTATAGCTCATTCCAGGCTATCACCAGCAGTTCAGCTTACAATAGAAAACTGATGCCATACATTGGATTACACAGCTGATAGTTCATTGTCAGCAATGAACTGCACAGCAAATAATGTGAACAGTTTCATTTTTTAACTACACATAATCAACACAAAACAAGAGGAGCTAGGAGTCCTCCTTTAGGAAGTAAATGCACAGATTTTAGTGTTTATAATAGAGAAGTCACAATCAATGGCAGAGATAGAACAGGCAATCAACATGCAAGCCATCTAAGACTAAGATTTTGTTTCATTTAAAGACAATTCATTGTTTCAATTCATTTAATTCCCAGCTCCACACAAACAAAAGTTGTCCCTAACAGTAGAAATTTCACACAATACTTTATTAAATACATTTCAGGCTGAAGCAGTGCTAAATCTTCTACCCAAGTGGTTCTTAAACTATTTTCATAGGAAGCTGTCGCACTGAGTCAGACCTTTTAATTCAGTATCATCTACACTGGCTAGCAATGGCTGAGAGCTTCAGAATATTTACTAGCCCTGCCTGGAAACTCTATGTGCTTTTACCACTGTGTTACAGCCCTTCCTGTCAGGGCTCCCTCAATGAAAAGACTGATAAAGGCATAAATACTCATTAATTGCTTTTCTGGTCTTACTATATTACCCTTGCAGTGCCCAGGCTGCATGTGATATCCACATTCTTAGGGTTCAACTTACATAAAATGAGCAGCAGACCCCAATCTCTACACTAGCAATGAGGAATATAGGCAAGAATGGTCTGCACTAGACAGATTCTGACAATAACTTATGGGATGTTTTAAGTGGCAGTCTAATCAATGCAATAAAGAAGGGATCCAGAAGGTGAAGTTTGAGCATTATTGTTCTAATCCTTTCCCACACCAACAACCCTCCTGAACATGCTTACATTTTAAAATTTACAGTTGTTTTCCGCCAAGATAAACAGGATCATACAGTTCAATTTCTCCTCTATTGAGCTGAGGCCAATAAACTGAAGATCTGATTAGTAGAATTTATTTTCACTTGTAAACCAAATTATGGGAGCAGACAGACAGAACCTGAATACAGAGCTTGCAGTGGTGCTGTGATGTCACAACTGAGCCAATATATGTCCTTGACTACTACACCCCTCTTTGGATCATTCACTCGCTGCTAGCCTTCTTCAGCTGATTAAAAGCCACAAAGCTTTATTTAGCCAAGTACCTGAAATGGGATGCTTCCCAGCTCAGGCACCCAAGTGCATGATAGGTTGTTAATTTTTTTCCAGACAGGCAGAGGAGGCACAGCAGAAGTTGGCAAAGAGTAAGGGGCAATGTGGGTGGGAATGACAGTGTGGATTTCATTGTATGATTCTCTATCAACAGTTCAGCTGCAAAGTTTCCCCTGTGGCAGAGCTAAATAATATGCTTCAAGTCTGTCTCTAGTCTGTGTGTTGAGCAAGAAGCATAAGAGCACTAAAATCCCTCTAGAAACTTGACAGCTCATTTAAATCAATTATTTTACATACGGTATGCTAAGTTGCAACACACAGATATCCCTACAGCTATTATACAAAGCTGTTATTTTTGCAGTCTTGGGCAAGGCTTTTCCACTGGCCAACTAAAAATTATGCAAAGCTTGCATTTAAAAGATATGGTGATAAAGGGTTGAATGTCTACTGTGGTTTAAAGAATAAAATGCCAGTGGGCAGTGACTCCATTAAGTATCACTAGCAAGCAATAAATTAGAGATGTTAACTGACCTAGAAGGCTTTTTTTGACTGGTTGCAATTCCACTGTGATTAGACTGAGTTGCATATCTGGCTGTCAGACTGTATGAGAAGAAACAGAGAAATTGAATTAACGAAATATTTTTTTTTGAATATGCATAAAAAGCAAAAACTTACCACCAAATGATGACTTAATGTTATGCAAATAGAACATGGATAGAAAACAAATTAATCAAAGAATGCATTAAATGTAATGATTATACCATGAGTTTTCAAAGTACGGACTATGTTGTAATGCAAGGCATTGTAAACTGTCCCATCCACAGATTCCCAGAGTGGTGAAACCTATGGGAGTAAGACGTGGGAAAGGAATTGGACTGGGCAGACTGGTGCAATGTGTGTACTAAGAAACCTCTATTATCTGTTTTTCCTAAGACTAAAGAAATAACATTTAAGATCTTACACAGGTGGTACTTGACACCCCAGAGGTGCAACAGAAACAGTTCTCTATTTTCACCACACTGTTGAAGGAAATGTGGCTAGGCTGGAACCTTCTACCATATGTGGTGGTTATTAGAAGCTATACACATGGTTTAAAAGACATTCTTATAAGAGATGACTCAACAGTCTTTGCACCCAGTTAGCTCTGTTAGCCATTTTTGATGGGGAGAACAGGAACATTTCAATTGGCATTCAGTTGCACACAACTGGAAGAATTTGGACAATTTATCTAAAGACTGTGGGTGCCAACAAATCTGGTCAATTGTTCCTATAGAGAGATTTACCAAACAAGCTTTAGATGGAGAAAAAGACAATGATTTTATTGAGTTTTGGTAGGCATGTATTGCTTGTGTGAATAAGAATAAGTAAAACTCACAACTGCCAGCCCCACATGGTAATCTCTGGCAGAATGTTCTTGTTTAAGTCTTGCTTTTTTTGATTCAGGAGCAGAAGGGAGTGAGTGGGGGACTGGAGATGCTACTTTTGTTTCTGTAATATTGTTCTTTATGTTGACCATGGTAAGCTGTCAACATTCTAGCTGGGTTTAAACTCAAGATGTATCATTGCTGAGCAAACTCAGAGCTTATTGCAGATACAAATACTGGCACTGAACTTTGCAGTAGATGCCATAAAATTTTATCTAAGCATCCACTTTCAACACTAATTGAGGGTATCATCTTTGCTGAAGAAAGCCATTATTTATTGGGATGGGAAACTTGTGGCTTCCAGATGTTGTTGGACTCCAACCTCAATCAGCTCCAACTAGCAGGGCCAGTAGTTATGGATGATGGGAGCTTTAATCCAGCAACATCTGGTGGGCTGCAGTTTGCCCATTCCTGCTTCACAAGGACACCCAAAAGTATTAATGGGGACCATGTGCCATGTGTTACCATCAAACTTCATTAAAAAGCACATTAAAGATTTTATACAGCATTTTAAGGCTGTTTCACTAAAATCAACTTTTTTTTGTGAGAAGAACTAACCAGAATGACAGACCAGAATGACACTGTGTAGCAGACAAATCTGCTTTCTCATTATATTATGACACATTCATTCCACTGTTATTGTCCAACACTACTGGCTGGGGAACATGGATACAATGACGATGTGTTCTGTAAGCACAGCCTATGCTAGAAACATGCATAGCAATGATGCACAAAATGAAAATCAAAGGAAGGTGCTGGTGTTAGTAAAGAACATAGCATGGTTAATTCTAAGAGGTGATGATAGTGACAAGTGATGTGATGTGATTTGGCCAGGAATATATGACAAGGGATGTAACTAGGCCACTTATAACTTTGTGAAACTGTTGCTGGACTGTATAACTTATTACAGCTGGGAATCACAAGACTGAATCCTTCATGCCACCACCCCTTGCTGCCCCCCAAAGTGATGGAAAGTTAGGTGCCTGACTTTTCCCGTTACACAAGTGAGAGCTTACAGGAACACACAATCGGGAGGGAATGCAGAATGGGAAGAACGCAATAAGTGCTGAGCTGGGCTCCATCTAGACTGTCCTAGCACAGCACAGCTAGTATTAACAGCATCAGAGAAAACACTGCTGCAATCCAGGGATTTGGAACCAAGTACACATATACTGATTAGTGATGCTGTTGAAACTCAGCATTTGTCCATTTGGAAATCAAATCTAGTATGTTCGTAATTCCTGAATGTAACGCAATTCCAATGAACTTTAATATTTTCATATTTCAAGCTGAGTTTAGTTACAAGTTAGTTTGTATTTTCTGTGCCTGTGCAGTTGGAGAGAAAAGTAGTGAACTTACAGTGATATGGGGTGATTTGAGGGCTTTCAAACCATTTCTTTTTTATTTTAATTTCCTTGCCAATAAAGATTAGAGCTTGAACTTCATTGCATGTCAAAGTCTCTTTGGCAGACTAGGAAGCATACTTCTTGCCAGTAGTGGCTGGCGAGGCACTGTGGGTAGGACAGTTTTGTTGACTTCACTTCCCAATGCTGCACATCACTGTCATCACCAAGAGGGAGGCAGGAGGAAGCTTGATATGGCAGCAGCAGTGGAGCCACTCTGACACTCCTGCTATTACACTTACACTGTGCTGAACTCCCCATCTATGGCCTGCTCATCCCCTTCTCAGTAACTGACCTCAACATGCAACATTGGGAAGCCAGATCAGCAAACCATTCCAGTCTGTGCCACCCTGCCGACTGCTACTGGTTCTTGCCACACACTTTCAAAGCAGGGCTAGAAATGCCCCTGGAAATGGCTCAATGTGATCAAATAGCATTATTTATTTTTCAGGGAGCATGCAGAGGAAGAAAGAAGACTGTCCACATGGACCTATGGAGGCAACTATTTTACGCACACAGCCCAATTAAGCATCAGGAAATAAATGTTACATTATGACGTAAGTGTCATTTCCAGGAACATTTCTGGGCCTACGTTTAAACTATGTGCTCCCTAGTCTCCTAAAAGGGGCTTCTACATTTAAAGAAGTTAAATAACATGGTTTAAAAGCACTCAGATGGCCTCAAAATACTGCAAGTTTAAATTTGAAGATACTTCAACATTTTGAACTATCAAAAGAACTTTTGGCAAAGTTTGTAATGTTGAATTTGTTACTTGGCAAGAAAATTACCCTTTTTGATTAAGCAAGTTCACCCTTCACACTAATATTGAGGAGTGAACTCTGGAAACTGTCAGAGAAAGAGAAATCAATGGGCATGGTCAAAGTTTTGTCTGGACTTTGTTAATTTTCCCCAGCAGCAGCATGAGATGATAATATGGAGTTGAGACAAGGGGTGAATAGGAGAGGCAAGGCTGACAACTTGGAACAGCATTCAGTTTGAGGCTATGCTTGCCTGTTGGAGAAGTGAAGCAAGTAAAAAGGGCTGCAATTTTGGTGTAAACCAAATCACTTGGCATTATGAATATAAAAATGGTGACTATTAGTTTCTATGTGATAGGCTGGCATTATTCCCCAGTCTCTTCCTGGAAGCAAGAATGGTTCTATGTGGAAAATGGAAAAAGTACTTTGAGTGACTCACAAAGGCAGCTAGCTACTTACTGAAAAGTGACTTAAGGGAGAAAAAGTCTAGATTGCAGTGCAATAGACTACTCATTTCATCAACAGACACCACTAAACTCATGTCATCAAGAATCATAAGGGAAGAATACTAGCCTGTGGTGAATACTAAAGCTAATAGTGAAGCCTGTGATTTATTATTGAAGCCTTGGGTAATAAAGCAAATAGTATAGTCCTTATTGGATTAAAAACAGGTTGCAAAGCAATGCAGATATGCCAATGATCTGAAAAGTCAAATATGTTGTTAATTGTAGGAGCAATTTTGTCTTATATGGGAAGAAAATCCCCAAGCTAACCATAAAGCTCAAAAAAACTTAAGCATATTATTTTTCTCTTTTAATTTCCAACACTTTTAATGAGATCTCACATGCATAGCTTACATAAAAGTGATACAATATGAAAATATTATGCACTGTAAAAACTACACCAACCTAGATATGGTTATGTCACTGAGGGGAAAATATATGGCAAGAGACAGTATTCAAAACAAAATAATAAGAATGCATACCATTACCAGATCTGCATGTGAACTCGTATCTTACATTCATGTTCACAGAACAATTATACTGGAGACAACTGAGTGCCACAGAGGTTATCACAAGAAACAGGAATGCTTTAGAAATGCCAACATTGTCCTGCTTACTTGGCAAAATTAGCAAAAGCCAAAATGCGCAAACTGGTGGACGCAGAGTAAAATTGCTTTGCTTATCTTGCACATGACAGTTGTTGATCTCAACACAGTCCAGCATTCACAGCAACCAACTAAATGCCTAGCCAAGACATGAGGAAAAGAGCCCTCTGTGGTAAGGCCATTACTTTACCTAGCTCCATATTGTCTACACAACTGCTTGGCAGTGGCTCTTCAGGGTTTCAAATAGTCATCCCTTCCCAGCCCCTGCCTAGGGAAGCCAGGAATTGGCTACAGCCTCTGTCCTGCTGGATAAATTTGTAACATCCTCCAAACAGTCAAGTTTGTAACAGTATTTATGCACACAGTCATAATTGTAATCCTAGTAGTTTTTTGTTTATTTAACATGTGCATGTTGAGGTGTAGGAACCTGTGCCCCCACCCAAAAAATGTAAAGGTTCCAGGCTTTCAGCAACCCCAGGTAGTATTGACAACAGTCATGGATAATGGAGGCTGTAGTCTGTCAACATCTGGTTGGGTTTCCTACTGCATTCGACTCCTTCCTTAAAGACTACAACATCAGAACCGGTCAGTACCAGTCAGTACAATGTACTTGGATATGTTAGACATATTGGACAAAGTCCATCACAAAAGGCTCCTAGGGAAACTCATGGGTTAGAATGAAAATGGATTATCCTATTGACTGAGAACTTAAAAGTTAATAACCAAAATTAGGAAACAAAGAGTAGGCAGAGGGGACCCAGCACCCTTAATCTTTGACCTCTATCCATGCTGGCTGAGGCTGATGGGAGCTAGATTTCAACATCTGGAGAGCCACAGGTAGCCCCTCATGATAAAAGAAATTCATTCAATGAACCTAATCTATAAATATGGAAATTTGTTATTTCTTTTTACTATCCAGCAGGTGAGGTGGTAGATGTGCTGAATCACTGTGATAATGGGCTGGATGAGGATCAATTCACTCAATCAATCAATTTAAAAAAAGCTCATACCAGACGAAACAGAGATACTGGTAGTTCCTCCCGATACAAACAGCATGCAGTAAATAAAAAATGAACTTTAGCTATGGTTCATGACTTGTCTGGAGCAAGCCAAGGTATGACACTGGGCTTGGACATAATGCTAAACCAAACTATGGCTTGGCTCTGAAAAGAGCAGCAGGAGGAAGACCAAGGAAGGGGCAAACAACTGTGAATTTTGCTCCATGCAGTTGTATGTTTGCTCATTTAGTTATGGTTTGTCCTAGTGTTACATGTGAACCAGGCTGTTGATTGGTTTCAAAAAAACTCACAAGAACTGCTAGTCCAGTGAGAGTCATTATTCCTTTTGCTTTTTCTGTGAAAGAGCAAAGTAAAACATTACCCACAGAAAACCAGCCATAGTGAAAAATGGCCTTAAGTACCAACCAGCCAAATATATTTGCTTTTCTAAAGTAACACAGGGTGAACTTTAATGAATTAAGCAAATCCATCTGGCTGTCAAGCTGCGACCACTATTTCTATATGTGATAATGTTGGTTTGCCTGCATTTAGGAATTTTGCTGACAGCTTCTTGAAATCAGTTACCGACTAATCCACAAATGGGACAGAACTTTCATCTACATGTGTTTTTCCTTAGCATCTGGGTGGTTGAAAGATCATCGCCATGGCAAGCTTAGATATATGCTGCAATGATGAAACACACTAGCAAAATATGTCATAAAATATAATATAATCATTGTTGCCATGCATTTCTGCTGACAGGTATAAATAAGGCCATCAGCGCTGTGACCTTTGTGTATGTGTAAAATAAACAAAAATGAATCCGTGACTAACTCGCAAGTGAAATGTAGAAAAAGAGAATTCACCAGAACTGTTCAATATAACTATTTTCATTCCTTTCTCAGAAACAAAGGCTTATTGATGGCCAAAATGTCTCTCATGTAAAACACCCTTTTCTTTCATATTTATCTTGATGGATTTGGGGCAGTCAACATTATATCCTCCAGATGTTGCTAAACTACAACTCCTATCATCCCTGACTCCCTGGCATCCTTTGCAGTCTAAGGAAGATGGGAGTTGTACTGCAACAACCCCTTGACAACCATAGCAATATTAACAGCCTGGATATAAATAAGGTTCCTCACTGGAAAGATACAAAGCTACTCAGATGCAGATTAATATGCTAACTTCCTTGCACCTTCTTTGAACATGCAAAGTGTGAATGTATTCACACATCTCTGAAGAAACATATATTAGCTCCACTGGCATCTGAACAAAAATAAGCTCCTACTTTGCACATTTCATGGGGAAACTGGATAATTCGTGCATCCTTTCTGTTTTACCATCCAAGACTCAGGCATAGGCAAACTCGGCCCTCCAGATATTTTTGGGACTACAACTCCCATCATCCCTAGCTAACAGGACCAGTGGTCAGGGATGATGGGAATTGTAGTCCCAAAACATCTGGAGGGCCAAGTTTGCCTATGCCTGATCCAAGTTCTCCTTAGTGAATCAGACAAAGTGATCTCCCCCCACCCCCCAACCTTTGGAACCTTTGCACATTCTTCTCAGTGGAGAAATTCCCATATGCTTGTCAGCCTCTACAATGATCTACACTGATCAAGGGCCAAGCAAAGGCTAATTACTCTGATTAATGTTTTTACAATCTATACTCCCTCACAGAGAAACATAACCATAGTGCCAGGCCACATTTTACCCTATTTTATTGGACCACAAGGAATGGCTCAATAGATCTTCATACTCCAATACATCAAGATCTGTGTGAGAGATCTTTTTATTGTGCACTCTTAAAGTTATAGTCATTACATTAAATGATTATACCTTATGAAAGGTATTCAAAGTAACATAAGAAATCTCAATGTTCCTTTTATCTTTTTGGGGGGAGGGCAGGGAATACATCTCAAACAATGCAACTCTAATTATAATACTGTATACCAAGTACAACTATTTTCAGCAATATAATGTCCACTATGAATACTATACATGCACATATTAAGACAAACTATCTGCAAATGTTAGGATGACGGAAAACAATTCATTTTTTGGGAAATGATTCAGTTCATTTCCAAGCCAATCACAATTCAGCCTCACTTATCCTCCAAACCCTCCTCTGTATCTCTTGAACCCATCCCAACTACCCTTAATCACCCCACCTTGCAACCCTTTAATCTTCCTTTTAAAACACACTTACCAACTAGGCCAGAAGTGGCAATGCTGCTCCAGCCACAGTAAAAGGGAGGAGGGTTTCTTCCTCCCACTTGGCCCCTGCCTCTTGCAAAGAACCCTTGGCCCTTGCGAAACTACATTGACTGCAATGTAAGTACTACCCAATGTAGTAATTGCAATATTATAGTGTCATGAGCCGCAAAGCACTTTTCCTAATGATGTTAAGCTTCATTGGGAAAACAGTGCACACCTGTTGCCAACTATCCCACTGTAGATTGCATTTCAATAGAAAAAGCAGAAAAAAGGAACCAGTGAGAAACACTTTTTAATTCAACTCCTTACTCTTCAAAAGCACTGAAAAGATGATGAGTGAAAAATTTACACAAAGCAACATGTTGTATTCAATTAAATATATATCACAAAATGTGCAGATTTGTTCTAACCATGAATTATATTAAAATAAGTGTTATGAAGTGTATTCTTTATTCATGCTTACCAAAGTCTAATCATCTCTGTGTTGTGTTACTATTCTTACAGAATGATTTAGAGAAATATGTTTCACTGTATAAATAAAATCCTGTTGATTATCCCCTGTTGATAATCCAGATTTGAATTTTCTAGACAGCACTAACAGTGATATAACAGAGTACTTTACACAAGCCTAGGTCAGTAGACTTCCAGTTACCATTTATTATACCTTCTACGAACCATGTTCAGTAAACTAAAAGATAAATGCAATTTAGGAGTGTATTACTCCATTTATAAGAAAGTGTGTTCTCCTTCATGGAGAGCACGTGTTGCGGTGGGGGCCGCCAGGACACTCCAAAGTTGGGGGCGGGCTAATTTTTCATTGGCCACTGATGCAATTGGGGCTTCCCTTGTTGTTGGGAAGAAGTTAATGTTGCCATTTGTTGATTGACAGCCAGAAATGCTAAAACTCCTTGCACGAGGCTAGGGCTTCCTCTTTTCGACAGTGCATTGGATTGCCCATCCCCCCCTCCCTAGAATTAGGGTTGTTCGCTTTGACCTTGCTATGCCTGTCATGGGGTCATCTGCTCTTGGGGCAGGGGCCTGGTAGGAATTTTGTACATCTGGCTGATTGGCTGGGGCCATTTGGTTTTTGCCTACTGCGTAGCAAATCGTCACAACTTGTAAGGTTGCGGTTAGGCATTGGTTTATGGTTTGGTTGGTTGAGGGGAAGTGGTTGAGTGCCTGCCCTTGGTAGGTTGAGTGCCTGCCCCTCTAATGCTGCTGCTGCAAGGGATTCCGTTAAAGGAATTGGGGGCTAACTATTGCTTGTCCACTCTGTCAAGGGGGCTCGGGCCATAGCAATGAGCTCCTGGTTGCATTTGGGGTGAGGGCAGGTTCCCTGCTCCACATAACCCCCAAGTGTATTCCCCTATTCTGACTTTCGCATCGTGCGGAATGTCAGTCTGTCCCCCATGGTGGGGGCAGATAGTCGCAACCAATGCCTAAGCAACCATTCACAAATTTGTATTTCAATAAAGTTGTGGCCAAAATTATGCCAAAAATCTTAAACAAAAATTCTGTGTGATGTGTGGGTTATTGGGGTGGCCCTGGGGACCTCGACACGCAATGTAAACAAACAGTGCATATTATTCAGAAAAGTAATCTCTGGTGTGTTTTAAGAACTGGGTGCTTTCTTGCCCTACCAGAGAAGATCATGTTCAATTATATGGTGTAGTGACAGCCCAGAGTACTTCCGTATTACACTATTTATGCCATAGTCATGCTATTCTGTGTAGTAAAAATAACTCTAGGAAGGGGAAGAATAGGCCTTATCCCTGTAATGTTTTCACAACAAACATTGCAACACACAAGAGTTAGAAGAATCCATACTCTTATTTCTTTACTCTGTATGTCATTTCACATTTCACAAGTTGATCCCCTCAATGTGTAAGATATTTGTTTATAAATTAACAAGTTTCCCCAACTCATCACGCCATATCATTCATGCCACTGTTATTGGGAACAACAGAGAAGTTAAAGTAACTGTTTGTGTGAATGCAACCTAAGGCTGCGATGCACACCTACTCCCCAGTCAAATTGAATTTAGGATTAATTCCAAGTAGACAAGTATTTAGAATTGGTTTCTAAACAATTATTTCCCATTCAGGAGACCTTGAAAACCATTACAACATGGAAGCACTTTAATTGCATATTTTATCTGACCTACCTGGACTGCATATCTTGCTGTGTTTTGGGCTGGCCAATATCAGCAGGAGGTGGAGAATGAGAGACGTGCTGCTGTAGCTCTACCAAAGACTGATAGTACTGCTGTTGTTGGTGTTGCTGCTGTTTATAACGAGACAAACTGAAAAACAGCCCTAAAATGGCTTTCAAATTTCCATTCCTTATTTCTGAAAAAATGAAGAAAATATAAGAATTAGACTTCTGCTCTGCATGCTTTGAAGTTTCCACATCCTCTTCAACATCAGACTCACAGACGATGCATTGTAGGAAGTTACCAAATGCAGGTCCTCATGTGCAAGGAGGTTAGTTAGAGGTTGCAAGTATAGCTAGTAAAGCTAGTTATGTTTTATCACTCCTCACATGGTGTCCTTCCTGCAGGAAGGCCTAACTGCTGCAGCTACAGACAGCTTACTACTCCAGAAAGGGACAGAGGAGAGCTGACGTCTGGAACAGAGGGAGCCTACAAGAATCTGTAAAGGTGAGTCCGATCCATCTATAACTCATCGGAATGTAGACAGTCACCCCACCACTCAAGTCTATTTCCAAGTTTCACCCCAGCAGAATTTGATCTCCATCAGTCTGAAGACCGGACACTTTGGATAAGCAGATTCCAAAGGTTCTCCTAAATGTCTGAAATGGTTTGCACCAGTCCAAGAAGAACTAGATAAGTACTTCCTATTTTACCATGATACAATTTTTGAGGGCTCCCTATTCGACTCCCGCAAGCAAGAGCAAGGAGAGTCAATATCTGGCTTCATCACAACGCTATATGCTCTCATCCAGCACATACACAGTGAGGAGCTGGGCTTGGCTGTTCAACCTTAGCTCTGTCTCCCTATCTCCACACATGAGCACTCAGCTCAACTTGCCCCTCCACAGCCAACTTTTGCACCCAAAGGCATAGCAAGCAAACAAGCTGAGTTCTAGAGGTGCAACCCTGTCTCTCTCCTTTTATAAATTAGCCTTTGCTACAGCAGCAGCTGCTGTTAATCTGTTTGATAATCTGAAGCCTTCTTTGCCCACCTGTGCTCCCATTCTGAAATTTATGAAGGTCACCAGTTCTGCTTCCCTAATAAATGTGTGTATGAAACCACATTATGAACCTCTTATTTTTTATGATTAATATGTTATTAGAAGAATTTCATTTGTAAATAAAGTGGTCAAAGAAAAAAAGGGGTGTGGAAAAAAGTGCAGAAAGCACAGTAATGCAATTAGTATAATTAGTATCTACATTTCAAGTGGTTTGCAAAAATGGATAAAAAACAAACTTACATGAAAAATGCATTACAAGGCAGCTGTCTACATTTTCTTATACTGCCCAAATTGTATAATATAGTGTTTTAAACATTAGTATGAATCAAACTACATGTTATACTTGAAACACAGCAAGGTCCTGCACCTCGTTTTTTTCCTTTAATGTGGGGCAGATCATTATTGGGATTGTAATGTGCAGTGAAGGGGGGAGGGTTCTCTCTTCCTCCCCTTCCCAGGCATGACCACCCTGACAATCATCGTCCAGGCAGCTACACAACTTAGAAAAAAGTTCCCAATGGTATGAATCAGATTTTGTTTCCCTAAACCTCGTAGCTACACAGGGAGCTAATCTGGGGTAGTTAGGGGAGAATAGCTCAACAGACTAGGGATAAACTTCCCTCCCTACACAATGCAATCCATACAACAATTTTGCCTCCCCCTCTGGCAATGAAAGTTGTTGCTGTTTATTATGACCGCAGACCAATAAAATTACACAAATAAAACATACAGCTAGTTAAAATGAAACATACAGCTAAATAAAGCTTTAAAAGCTTTAAAATGAATACATCAAAATATCTCCCCCAAACAGCCAACATACAATCTTTTTGCAAACTTCTCAGTAATGTGGCTTTCAAAATTCCCTGAAAATGTGCTTTATAGAGGGAGAACCAGCCTCTCTCTATACTTGTTATGCAGGTTCCTACGCAAAAGAACGTGAACAACAGACTCTATTGCTTCAGCTCCACACAAACGCCAACCATTTGTTAACTAGAATCTTGTTGAATCATCCACTTAACAGCACAGAAAACAGCACATTAAAATGAGCAAGCATAAATGCTTTCCTATACTCGGAGACAGGTATGAAGCTGACCCTTCCATAATATGAAGTGTCGTTAAGAAGCACCAGAGAACAAGATTCATTAGCTGCAGTTCTCGGCTAATAAGAGGAAAGCATGGCATGTAGCTGCATGCTATGCATTAATGTGTAGTTAGTTACTAATTGAATACAGTATTTTTTTTACTTCTATTTAATTATTTCATATCTTGCATATCTCCCAACAATTGAGCATAGTTGGTGCAAGTGCTTATTAATCTACACACAGAGCTGCACAAGGTATGCACTCAGGATCACACATAAACATCAGCAACAGACTCTTAGTGTTGGGAACACGATTGGGAAATCTACAGAGCTGAGAAACAAAAGCAGATCATCCATCAATTATGCAGTGTCACACCCTTTTTCACTACCATGCTGTCAAATAGTGCAACGGTTTCATCTTCTGCCTTTTCAGTAAAGCAAATTGCCTCATTGCAGCTAGCAGGTACCCAGCCTAGCTGTGTCCAGATGTGACATCTGTCACCAAAGCAGTAATACTTTGAATCGGTTACCTCTGAAGGGAAATTGTATGTTGTTCCACTTTGTTCCTCCCTCCCTAACAAACAGCTGATTGTTGTGATCACCAATATTCTGACAAGGCCTTACATGCACAGGTCTGGCTGCTAGCTGCATAAATATATATATAGCAGAGAATGTGCTTGAAAAATTATGCCTAGGTCTTCGAGGCAGCATAATCAAGGAAAAAATGCCTAGTATCATACTATCCTATATCCTCTGCTTCACTCATCGCCTTCAGTGTTATAAAGTAAAACAAGGGACTCAGAGAAGCCAATAAGGCAAGACTATTGCAAACCAGTTTCTGTCCTCTGTTGCCGAAATAGGAATCTGGATTGTGGCTTATTTTTATTTATTTTTTTGAAATGGATGGAAAATATTTAACACACACACACACTTCGCTTGCAATAAAGGCAATTGTAAATATACTGTTAACATGTTTCCTGGCAAGTAAATCCTGTTCTCTCCAACAAGGCTTCCCTCTCAAGCATGTGTGCATAGGACTGCAGCCTAAGGCTATGATTACAAGGACGCTACTATCAAACAACACTTTGAAAATTCAGCTGTGACAGGAAAAACTATTACTTTTTTTTAAAGGCAGAATAAATGAGAAACACATTCCTGTATCATATAGGTTTTGGAGCTTCTCTGTTTTTTGTGTGTTAGTTTTTTTAATTGCAGAATTAGATAAAACCCTAATAAATTATATCATTCTATGGAAGGTTAGCCATTGCTTTTTAAGTGTTTCCAAACAGAATAGCATCATTGATTGCTTAAAGGACACCTGGTTACTGGATGTTCTTCTAAGAACATTTATTAATGCCAGACTCTTTTAGGAAACATAAGAGGATTGATCAGGTGAGAGCAGTGTCCTGGATTGTTGTGTACAAAATACACAGGATTGTATCCAATACTGCGTAAGTGGAGTTCTTCTCATGCAATTGGACTTTTGCTTCCTCTCATCTCCTCTCCTCTCCTGACATGCTCCAAAACCTGCTCTGGAGGTGAAAGTTTCATTGCACAAGTCTGTTGCATGGGAGGAACAGAAGCATTGGATAAAAACCACAGAATTATATACCAAAAGCAATACTAGTATATTGAATATACAGAAATCCTGCAAATTTCCTTCCCAGGACCAATCCTACTATTAGGCTGAATAACCCACAGGAAGCAGATGTTGGGGGGCAGTAGCAGGGCACCAGACATTATTCCTGAGCTCGCTTGCCTTTCCGTCTCTTGGAAGACAAAGCTGTGTGTGCTACACATGTTGTGAATGCCCTAAACTAGCCTGTTATGTTCACTTCCCCATTGCCAATGTTGAAGTAAGATTCAATGGCCAGCCTAGTCACTTTCTGTACATGGAACAGAATGGGTGCCATCTTGTCCTTTGTTCCTTGGGCATTTTGGGCTGGGCTTGATCCTATGTGATCTCAAATACTACCTTCAAATATGGAAAACTCACATACTGTAGCTGTTATTTTGATACTGACCATATATAGGCCCATTCAAGCTGAATTTGTGGTGCGGAGTTTGTGAGGTATGACTTTTAATACAAAATACAGACCTTCATGTTGTAAAATACAACATTTATAAAACTGAGCAATGATTATATTAATTTATTAATAAGAACAACTTTGGGGGAAATTTCAGATATTTATATTTTGCATCTGCAGCATAAAGAGAAACAAACTGGTGACATAAACTGCATTTAAATAGTTTGCAATTTGAATAATTATATACATTTATATATCAAAATGGAGAAATACATTTGGGAAGTCTCTAAATATTTGCAACCTATTTCACACCAGTATATCAGCTTTGCTCAGTACACAGACTTGGAACACTGGGAAGATACGATACATACAGGGCTTTTTTTCTAGAAAAAGAGGTGCTAGAACCCCACCGCCAAGGCAAAATTACATGAACTGCCACCTTACGCCACTGACTGCCATGTCGCTCCAATCACCATGCTGCCCACCACCTCCATAACACAGTCCCAAGTGCCATGATGGGGAACAGCACTACAATATCACAAAGGTGTTGGAATGCACCCAGTAAGTGACAGAATGCGCAAAAGAGGTGCCAGAACTCAGTTCCGGTGACTTCTGGCTTTTAAAAAGCCCTGCTTGTAAGTTGAGTATGATCCCCTTCCAGGAACATCAAACAAATCTATATTCTCTGATGTGAATGAGAGGGACCTATTATACTAAATAAAAATGTTTCCCACTGAAGTTAACAGAATCTGTTTTCTTTTGAATACAGTTGAGAGAGAGAAATATTTCATCCATTTGATCTTTTCAACGTTGCTCAGATATATGTCAAAAAACAAATTACTTAAATCTTCTCAAGAGATGGGAACTATTAAGATAGTTCTAACAACTACATCTTATGTTTCCTATTAAAGAGAAAGTATAATTCAAAATTTATCAGTTTAGTCATCTATGCAAAAAAAATATGTCTTTCAACTCTACAATTCTATGATTTTTCTGACTTGGTTATATGTAGACTACTCACCATTTCTCGGTTTTTAAGAGCCACTGAACATGATGCTACTTTAGAATTAGTTGGGAAGATTCAGTATAATGTTATGTCATTAAGTGCAGCACGTAAGCCTGCACACACAAAAAGTGTTTTAACTTCTGACCTTAAAAATAGTAATTCTAAATCTATGTAGTTTTACTGACAGTATCAGACAATGGCTGATATTCCCAGTAAATAACAAACTCCACAACTTGAGAAGATTCTGAAGTAAATGCTTGCAAATTCTGATCCGGCAAATTCTGATCTGGCAAATTCTGATGAGTTTTGCTAAAAGGAGGTTTGCTCCTGACTTCAGTGGGCTGAAAACTGTGCCCAGTTCAGTTGTCTGCACTATACAGTACAGTAAGTCACATATGCATTTTTCATTTTGTGCTTGTAGAAAGCATATTCTAGCTATGGATCTTTAGGAAGGAGAAGAAATTGAGGCAAACATATTCAAGGGAAAAGTGCTAATTTAAATTTAAAAAACCCATTTCCTATGGGAAATATTTAAGTGTTTTAATTTATGCCAAGAATTATGTCAAACCAAAACTATATTTCATAAGAGAACTAATATCTTTTCCAAAATAATATACTGCAAATCAAGTTTCAAGAAGTACCTTTCCAGAAGGTAATTCACTATCTCTGATGGTGATGATGATGGCTTTTTCTTACCTTCCGCAGAAAGACCTTGGACATTTACTCCTCTGGCTGCCAGAAAGTTAAGGCAGACATCAACATTCTCAATCTGCAAAATGAACATGAAATAGCAAAGCAGTTAAAGGCTGTTTTGCAAGATGGACTTGAATGCAGCAAAGGGGGGGGGGAGAGAAATGAATACTTTGCATTCATCACATACTCCAGTTCTTTAGTAAAGTTTAACAAGAATGATTACTGTTAATTGGTCAGCTGCTATAAAAGCTTTCATTGTCCACTTTGGTGCTTAAAAACAATTCATAAAGGGTTGATCCAGAATGGCACACTGACAAATCAGCAACCCACCTACTTACCATAAAACTGGATTCTGTACACAAAAATAAGCAACAATGGACAATACTGCAGCGTGTGTACAAAGTCGTGGGTGAACAGATGTTTCAATGACAATGTGTCAAGAGCAAAATGGGAAAAATGGGTTGTAAAAAGTATGGGATAAGGTGTGATATCAGAATATATTATTTACTAAGCTTTGTGAGGGAGCTTTGTATGTGTTATTATTTAAACTAAATTAAATAATGACAATAATACTTCAATAATATTATATGATTATCACCACCACCACCATTATCTCTTGAATTCCTTCATGTTAATCTGGGAAACCTGTTTCATTAACAATGGTTTGCGTATGAAGACCCCCAAGACCTCCCAAAGAAAAACACAGTTGACACCAATATTAGTTTAAGGTTACTGGCATAATTTTGGCCACAACTTTATTGATTACAGAATGTGAGTAGTGGTTTGCTTAGGCATTGATTCGACTAGCTGCACCGACACCTCTGGCAGGGCAGCACTGACAACTGGACACCGGCAAAAGTCAGTAAGGGTAAACAGACTGGAGGAGCATTGGTCCTACCACAGACATAACCTCACCCCAAAATGCTCCTAGGTGCTTTGGAGTGGCCATAATCCCTGGAAGGGGATCAGACAAAAGCATGGCGAGCACCTGGATTCCTTTAATGGAATACCCTACTGCACATTGGGAGGGGCAGGTGTGTCAACCTCCCCTCACCACACCTTGAACCAATGCCTAACCTCCAAACCTTACAAAGTTGTGACAATTTGCTACACAGCAGGCGAAACCCAAGTGGCACCAGCCAATCAGCCAAATGGGAAAATTCCCACTGGGCCCCTGCCCTGAAAGCAGATGACTCACAAAGGCATAGCAAGGTCACAGCAAGACCCTAAATAGAGGGAGGGTGGGCGGGTGAACCAGTGCACAAGGCGCTAAGCGGAAGCTCAACGCAACAAGCAGTGGTATAAATAGGTCCCCCCACTGCAAATTCTCTCAACCCCATTGGCCAGAATTACCTCAGCAACCGAGGGACCCAATCAGGTTGTGGTGGCTATCCAAACGATCCCACCCACACAAACGGTGAGGTCATTCTTAGTGATTTCACCGCAACACATGCCCTCTGTGAAGAGGACACAATTTTTCATGAAGTTCCAGGTTCATTCTAGGCGTATCTACCACTGGTGTGACAGTTTATCAACTTACATATTTGTGAAGCATAGCTATTTCATAGGAAATGATGAAGGAACAAATGGCTTCTGAAAAATAATATTTTAATTATAGAATTCCCCCCCCCATCCATCCACCAGAAGCTCCTTTTAACACTTGGGCTATTCCCCCCGTCCCCAAAAGCTCAGAGTAAACTGTATGCCAAAAGTATAGAAGGCTATATTTTATGCTGGAAAGAACACACCAAGTTACTGCAATGAAAAACAAACATTTATCAAAGTAGTTCTTCATGTAGGATGTGAAACAGCATCCAAAGGACAACTACCATCTGTCAGGGCAAGGGTGAAAACATCTCTCCCAAGTATGTTTTGCTAAGACCAGCAAAATGTAAATAATATAATAGCTAACACATTAAACTAAACATATTGGTCTATATTTTAACGACACTTTCATATAAATCTGGACTAACTTCACTGAAGTAAATATGCAGAATTCAAAATTACCCTGCTGCCTGCAAAGTCTGAAGTGTCATTTGATAAAATGTTAAATGATATTTACTGGAGATAATTGTATAAGCACAAAACTGGTATTTTTTTATATAAAAAAAAATCAAAACTGAACTTGCTATGAATATCTTCATTTATATGAAGAAATACTTCCACACAGTAATTAACAGCATCATTGCTATTTGCAGAGCTGGTTGCAAGAAAAAGAAAGCTCTGTGAAGAAGTTTGGACACTTCTGTAAACATATTTCCTGTGTTAAGCATCAATTTATTCAAAAACAAAATTGCCTTTTATTGCACATATGGTTACCAAATAACACGGGGTTTTCTGCAGCAGGTTGCTGACACAACAATAGAAGGGACAAGAAAAAGCAGATTAATTAATCCTTTTTGAACAATTTGTTAACTGTTTCTAGATTCTTGAGTGTGAAGTCATGTATAACAGTATAAGGACTTACACATGTCCATGGTGTTATTACATCTGCATTTGCTGAATAAAACAAACTAGTGCAGCTTAACAGGTAGAACTCAGTTCAAATCCCACCCCAGCCATGAATTCACTATTTCATCAAAAGCAAACCACTAATCCTTTTTGCTCTCAGGCCTCATTAGCAATATGAGGATAACCACAGTGACCTTCCCTAACAGTATCTTGCAAAGATCACCAAGATAATGTATAAGAACTACACTGAACGCTTGAAATGTGCTACATAAATGCTGTTAGAAGATCCAACATGACACTGGGTAATAAATTATTGGGGTTATTTTTCACTTTCATTTCCACTCAGTAATAAAAAAAAAACACTTCAAAGTTTAACCATTTTGAAGCTTTCATTGTATACATAAACACTGCTTTAATTACCTTCTCTCTTGCCTTGGCAAACCACAATTATTCTTTGAACTCAGACCCCAGCAGCCCTAAACACATTTTATTCAAACTTACAAGCAGATGAAAATAATTTAAATTTGCAGTTGCAGAAGTTTGAATAGACTTTATCCAGCTTCTAAGCTCTCCATACTGTTTCAATCAGAGCTAGCTAGAATGGGTCTCTGAAATCAATGTTTACTAAAGGAGCAAATTTTAAGGTTAATGTAGTATACGGTACAGTTTTACTTCCTACTAGTACTTCTTAGTAATACTTGTCTATATTGTTGGGTTTTACATAAGGGTTTTACATAAGTCACTCTGTCAACATAACACAAAACAACAAATCTCATCTAGGCAATATGCTCCATTTAAAAAAATAAATCAGTCCTACAATGTACCTAGTGTATGCATCTCTATCCTGGGATCGGCCAATCCATCCTCTGTAATCTCACTGAATTCTGTGATAAAATGCTGTGAGCAAAGCAAATATTACGAGAATTGTGGCTTATGCAATATTAAAGCTACAAATCTTACAAGTACTGAATAAAAGATGTGTGTGAAAAGTTCAGAAAGGGCTGTAACTCAAGCAAGAAACTAAAACAATATAAAAAAGAAAGGCAAGTCCAATGTACCCAATGGAAATTTTAAAAGGCAAATAGGGTTGAGACTCACAAAAAAGTTAAGTACCTGTTATGAGAGACAGGAATACTATGTTCATCACAGCTCTTTCCCACTAAGTCCACTAGTGAGAGCTGAGGGTGCTATGTGCTTAAAACTTTGAGAGAAATATGAAGGAATTTGGAATTTAGATTGAAGGTTTAATATTCTTTTGGGACCCAGTTTATTTCTTTTTAAAAAAACCTTAATAATTGTAGTATAAATAGAGAAGATTGTTATAGTTGTTCAACGGGTTAGGACTATGGCTGGAAGAGATTAGATGCAGCAACCTTATTGAATCTGAACATAAAGGTAAAGGTACCCCTGACCGTTAGGTCCAGTCGCGGATGACGCTGGGGTTACGCGTTCATCTCACTCTATAGGCCGAGGGAGCCAGCGTTTGTCCGCAGACAGCTTCTGGGTCATGTGGCCAGCATGTCTAAGTTGCAGCGCACAGAAATGCTGTTTACCTTCCAGTTGGAGCGGTACCTATTTAGGTATCTACTTGCACTTAATGTGCTTTTGAACTGCTATGTGGGCAGGAGCTGGGACCAAACAACAGGAGCTAATTCCTGTTGCGGGGATTTGAACCACCGACCTAACAATAGGTATTTAGAAAGACAATAGGCAATTAGGAAGACAACAAGCTGTTTACTACCTACAGATTTTCCCATTATGTAAAAATATTAGCAATGCACATTCTGAATTCATCCCTGTGAAGCAAAAGGTTAATTTCCCCCTTTTGAGGTGCTTGAATGGAATACAAGGTGAGTATTTCATACAGTATCTTAATATTTTACAAAAAGAAAAATTGCAAATCAAAATTTAGTTTGAGCATATGTCGTTATCCAGTAATTGCAAGTAAATAAATTTACATGAATAATTCAGTTGTTGGATAGAAACTCACCACTGGCTTATCTTAAAAATGTATATTCTTTATCATTGATTTTCGTATTACTAAGAGTTGCTTTCATCTCCTTCCTCTGGCAGAATGCACCTTCTCTGCTTCCAAACATAATGAATTATAGCATGTACACAGGATAATTAATGATGACTAATACAACTATATATTATTCCTTCCTTTCCCAGAGATTAATCAGTTCCATAAATATGACAATCTGCCAGATTCTCAAGCCTATACTAAAGAAATTATACTGGTGAGAGCCCAGAATCCTAAGCATGCTTAAGAGAAGTATTTTATTTAAAGAAATGGACACTTCTAAGGAAATGTGACAACGATTAACGATTAAAAGATAGATTTGTTATGTTTCTGTGTTTTTGCATCCATTGCCAAAAGTAGATTTAAAAGCCCCAAAGATTGATAAAGAGCTTGGATGCTGGACAAGATGTCTATATATATATAACTTCCACCCTACAATAATGCTTCTTTTTTCTTTTTTAAAAAATCAGCGTTCATTTATGAAGTTGTGATATGGATTCTGTTAAACTCATTTGGGGAGTGTGGAGTCTTTTCTTAGGAAATTCTAAGCACAATATCCTTAAATTGGATAGGAAGGTTATTTGACATGAAGTATTCACAGA